CCCCCCCCCCCCCCCCCCCCCCCCCCGATTCACCCCTGGCTGGCGATCCTTCCCGCGATGGAGGAAGGGGGTTTGAGAGCGGGGATTAAAAAGAAGCGCGAAGAAGCGCAGAGTCGCGGGCTGCCACCCCGAACCTCGGCGCAGTGGACCGTTCGGCGAGAGCGGAGCTGCGCGACGAAACGGTTAATTCGATTCGACGATCGTTGGCGGCGATAGCGAGCTCGGAGCCGACAACTATCAAGCGGCGCGTTAATTGCGTTCAAACGAACTGTCAGCGCGTCGACACGCACGCGCGCGCATCTGAGCCGCGTCCCGCGTGCAAATACGCGCATTATGATTAATACCGTCACACGCGGCTCCAGGCGTCGGCTTGTCAGCGGCCCGCAATCAGGGGATACGCTAATTACGCTCTCTCGCCCGACCGTTCACCTCCGTCCGTTTCCTCTCCTACGTCTTTTTTCCTCCCTCCTTTCCTTCCTACGTAGCGCACCTCTCGATTCCGAGCCGTGCTCCACCGAATACCAAGACGAAATTAATAATAACGGGTTAGCCGTCGATCGGTTCTAGCATTAGTCACGCCGTTCCTTTTGTCTTCCATCTCCGCTCGACGTTCGCGAAGCGTTTCCACGCGGATCATCTCCGCGGGCAGTCCGATAATAGCGGCCGCGTGATTTAGAGATCCAGTTCCGCGCGGGTGGGGACCTATCCGACTTTCAACGAATCCAATCCTTTACTCGCTTTCGAGGAATCCGCACCGACTCTCTCTCTCTCTCTCTCTCTCTCTCTACCACTGTCCGTTCGCGTGTTTGTCCCGCGAGCCGGAGGTCCACGGTCCCGCAATCTAGGCGAGTAATCATCGCCGATGGAACGCGGCGGACGAACGCGCCGATTCGTTCCCCGAATCGACCGCTCGTGCCAAACGTCCTGACCCGAAAACGGACCCTTCTAACGACCCTCTTGCGAAACGATACGGTCACCGGGGCTCTCTCTCTCTCTCTCTCTCTCTCGTAAATTGTTCCCCGAGACTCTGCATCCGTCCGCGCACACGCCGATCATTCTTCTCTCGTCGTCCTCTTTGTCCCCTTTGAGACGACGAGGAGGAGGAAGAGGAGGAGGATAAGAACTCGTAAAGCTCGTGAGCGGCGAGTGCGCGACTCGCGACAGGGTGCCGTCCGTGGCCGGCGAAAAAGAGTCGTCACCTCGCCAACCACCGCCTCCGGGACTCTGGTTTTATTAACTCGACAACGAATTACTTACGGCCGACGGCGCGGGTCGACCCGCGGAGCGCAATTTCATCAGGAGCCGCGATAATTATCGTTCGAACGATAATTAACGCCGCGCCATTAACGACGCCGCGTTCTTTATTCTCGCCTCGAGATTTTTCGCCGTCGTATTTTTAGCAGCACGACGCGTCGTCCGCCCCGACCACGGTGTTGTTTCCGGGTCATTTGCGACGCGCCGCGACGCCCTCCGCGAGGATTATTTCGATAGCCGTCGTCGGAGATAACGAGGAGGAAAAGGCGGCAGCGCGGACCACCGGGGGGCGTGCACTCCGACGAGCAGACGCGTTATTACGCGGCGCGCGCGCGCGCGCGTCCTCCTGGTCGTCGCGCGTCGTCGCGCGGTAACGAGCGTGGCCGAGTAAACTTTGGCCGCGACGAAACGCGATGATTAATTAAAAACATAATTAGTCCGGGTTCCACCCACCGATGTACCGTGAAATTGTCCACCGCCTCGCGTTTTCCGCCGCCAGATTTTTACCAGCCGTCGCGACGCCGGGAATCTCGTTAAGAGGCGGGCCCCCGACTCGAAAGCGGCCCGATCTTCGTGGGTGCGTTGCATCGAACGTCTCTCGGCTAACGAGCTCCTCTAAGAGCCTGCTCGTCTACTAATTTGTCTCTCGGATCGAACACCGAGTTCGTCTCGTTACGTCGAGCAGCTTCGACGTTCGTCTTTTGCCCGCTTTCGTCCGGCCACCGGAGGCTTCACGCGAGGGTGGACGACGCGCTTCGGTGCCGGGGAATACCGATTCTAATGGTAAAATATCTCTCTCGGCCTTATTTCCGCGCGCTATCTCGTGTACGCTTCGCGACGGCCAAGATATATCGTTATTAAATGGTCTCCCTTCGACGGTGCGCGCACGCCAGTATATTACGTAGCGGGGCTCCTACGTTGCCCTCGTACACGCACGCACCACGGACAGCCCGCACGCAGCGTGCGCCTAGCCTTCCGCGCGTGGAATTGCTCTCTTATTTACGGGCGGACGGCATGCGATTCCGC